CAGAGTAACAGGAAGGATCCTTGCTGCTCGTTTTCTATTTAAAGCGAGTGCTCTTCAAGACAGAAAAGGCTTGATGTAAAATTCCTGGTTTTGACTATATTTTGCACATGATTTTTAAATCCTCTCTTTAGGGAGAGTACCTAAAACATTTGACATCCATTTGTGGATTATTTTATATTCTTTTCACCCTTTGCTTGTGGTTAAGAAAATTGCATGAGTACTGTGTCTAACACAACTGTGTTGTGAGTACTGATTGTTTCATGTTATTTGGGTTCTAGAGGTTGGACGCTGTTGCGCTGTTTAAGTGAATGCCTGAGAAGACTGGCACAATAAAAAGCTGGTTATGAGTGAAAAATGGAAAAGTTCACCTCCAAGGATTTATTTTAACAAGATTATGTTTAGTCCAAGTTTTGTTTTATGTAAAATTATGATTTACGGTTTTGCAGCTGTGTGTATGCATTTTCACTCTATGGTGTTTGAGACATAAGAATTCGGTGTTGTTGGATTTCTTTCTCTGGCTTTTTAGCCCCATTAGTGATCCCTGTAAATTTGCTGAGGTTGAAAGAATTTAGTATTGTGTAATGGAAGATAAGAAATTTGCGTTAGACTCCTATGTAGTACCACTTTCAACTATTTCTTCCTGCATGACTGTGCCGCATTGTGTAGGTGGGATTTTTACTGGGACTTTTTTTAAACTTAGCTATGTTCATCTTAAAATGAAATGTACTGGTACCGTCTAGCATTGCGTAAAATCCTCTTCCTTGGCAGGTGTCACAGAGCAGCAGAAAGCCTTGCAAACATTGTTCTTAGGCAGACTGCTCCAGAAAAGCACAGCCCTGCTGTGCTGGTGCTTTCCCAGGCTCCCAGCTCCTGATGAACTCCCTGGAGAGCCCTTTTCTGCTAGCATGCCTTGTACCTCTGTTACCACTGCAAGAAATGCAGGCCCCGCTGGAGCACTCTGATTTCAGTTTAAATCTGTAGCTGTCAGTAAGCTGGGACCAGCTCTATGAAAATGAAAAAATAATCCACGCAGGTGACCAGCTGCACATCCTCTATTTTTAAATACTTTTGGAAGCATGTTTTCTAGTATGGATAAACTGCTGCTCTGGATATATACCTGTGCTCTCACACCACTGCATGCTGTTTTGTAACATTGCAGGTAAACTGCTTTCAGTTGCTTAATTTCAGTCTCGTCATCATTCAAAGTAAAATTGTCATAGTTGCTCTCCTTTACACCTAGCCAAACTGGAGGTCCATGTAAAATAACTTCATTTTTCAAAGGAGATGCTTCATCTTAGCCTAACGTACTATGTTTTTCTGTTAATGGATAGAAAGTGGGTCTCAACTCCCTGCAACTTCGTTGTTTGTCAGTGCACAGCTGTGTACATGTCTGTATGTGTATTGGTGTGACTGCAGGAGAGACCTGGGCATGACCAGGAGAAACCAGGCTGCATCCGCTGTGTCCTTAACTGCACCGATCTGCCTTTCCGAGGTCAGGTGAGGCCACTCCAGCCTCCCCTTCCCCTCCTGCTTCGATGCAGAGACCATGCACTACAGACCTTAGCTAATTCTGAGTCGTTGTACAAGTCAGGGCTAAGGCACTTGCTGACACCACAGGTCCGTGCAGAGCTGTGCCTGTGCCCAGAGGTTCTGGGCGACCAGGTTGGCACCGTGGTCTTCAGAGATTTTTTGTCTGTGCTCATTGTGCTTAGACAAGAATGCAAGGCCTTGTTGTGCTTTGGGTAGAGAGGAATGAATTTGCCTAGGTGAAAAGCAGTATTTTCTAACCCAAAATTTGAAAATCTATGTGGGAGACCTTTCCATTAGTCCCAAGGCCTTATCAGACTGCAGGAAAATGCAAACTGCTGAAGATTTTGCTCACCTCAGAGCAGACAGTTTTCTGCAACAAGGTGTCACTAGTTTTCTGGTGCGCAGAGAGTAAAAGAATGGCTGAAATTATTTAACTAACTAGGACACCTAGACTTCCCTCAACACCCTGGCTTGTTTCCCTCAGTCTGGCTGGGCTGAGGGACAGCAAGGAGGGAGGAAAATCCCAGCGCCGTTTGCTGTTTGGTTGCACCAGAGGAAAGCCACCAGGCAGGCACGTAAATGCTGTGCATGGTAGGAGGCTCGGGCTGCTGGTGGGAATTTCTCGCCCCCCGGCACTGCTTGGATTTACCCTGCTGGCTCGGGCTCTGCTTACACCTGTCGGCTGAGGGTGACAGCACCAGTGCCAGCAGTTTGTGAATGTCCCCTTGGAGCTTTGCCTGGCCAACTGGCAGCATATATTGTGAGCCAGGCCTCTTCCTCCTCCACAGCCTTGGGCAGGAGGTCAGTCAGTACTTATAGCCATGCCCTCCCACCTGCATTGTGTAAAGTGGGTTTCAGCTCCCTCTGAGGCCTTCTTTGCTTCCCAGGTGGACAGAAAGGGTTTCAGCCTTTCTTTCCTGCACTAGAGAAGAAAAGAAAATGAAAAAGAAGGGAAAGAGCTTTCTTTTCTTTTTCCTTTTCTTTTTTTCCCCTTCTGCGGTGGTCTGCACTTCAGCAATATGAAGCCAGCTCCTTCTGGTGCTGGACATTTTTAACACAGGGGACAGACAAGGAAGAGGAGGATACCACTAGAGGCAGGATTGGCCCCAGCAGGGAAGAGGTTAGTGGCAGACTGAGGTTTGTCCACATTAGACCATGAGGCTTGTTCACTCCGGTGTGCTTCTCTCCAACATCTTCCCTTAATGCCAGGTTCATATCTGCCCCGATAACAACATTGCCGTTCTCCATTGCTCTCATTCTGCCACCTGTACATAAACAAACCTCCCAATGGTTTGTGGCCCCGCTCCTGTGACAAAGGTGTGATGTCCCTCCTTGCTGTCTTCAAAACCAGCTGCCCCTGTTGCCTCTTGCTATCAGCAGCACTCCTGCCCTCTGCCAGGGGGTTTCTTTGTGAGTGCTGGATTTGTAGGCTACGCTTACACCCATGCTGCTCTTTTTAAGCTCCCAATACCTGTAACATCAGTGGGGAAATAACTTTTCCCCACACACAAACAGAGAACAGGTGCCACAAAGTTTTGCAGAAACTATGTGGATTCATTAAGCAGATGTAGATAGCTGCATTGTTTTCTCTTTTCTCTCAGTGCTAACTTTATAAAAGGTTGTTGCCAATCTCAGACAGCACTAGTTGCTTTTTTGCTGTGAAGCCTTTTGCTTACTGGAGAACCTCATGAATACATTTACAGCACTTCAGTAACCCTCGTGTAAGAGCCTCTTCCCGAAGTTCTTGCAATGGAAACCTGGATGAATGTGAATTTTTGCATGCCACACAGCCCAAGTTGGCTCCACGGCATGTGGCCCTAATTGTTTGCTAAAGAGTTGTAGAACCACTAGAAAGGTTTTCTGAGCAAAGCAGGTGGTGTTTATTACAGCCTCCAAATAAACTTAACACTCAAACTGGGCATAAATTGTCAAATAAAAAATCAGAAGGAAAGGAAGATCAGCCGATCTTACACAGAGATGAGAGTAAACAGAATCAGACGTTTCTTCAGCAGGTGAGACTTTTGCCACCATCTAATCCTTTACTTTTTCAGCCTGATACAAGAGATACTGTTTAATGAGTGGTTGTGTTAAAGAAAGACCTGAACTAAGTGCAGGAATCCACCCAGTGGCCGTGCCTTAGATGAACTCCCAGTGACTTTGTGACCTCCTTTGCACTTTGCTTACTCTCAGTCTAGAACCCATCGGCCTCTCTTCCAATGTTTCTGCTGAGGCTAGTGCCTGATGTTTCTGATAATGAAGAACTTTTTGGTGCTCTCATATTAGCGTTTGGACTTTAGGGCCAAGTAGACCTTTCTACCCCATTTTTTCAGGTTGCCATTCATGTGTGTTTGCCTTGGAGATATATGTGGTGGTGGTGTCTGTGCGTGCACTGGCGCTATATCCATGGCTCCACAGTGTCTTTACATAACAGTCTCCTCACGTTGGACTCCACACTGCTGTATCATGATGTCCGTGACCCCAAAGTGTATTAGGATCTCCTTACAGTCAAGCATGCCATGCTGTACTCTCTCCAGGTTTTTGTTTTTTTTTTTCACTTAAGAGTTGCAAGAGTTGCAACAGTGTAAAACAGTGCTGAGGAAACCTGTTCAGGCATTTATGCTTTTAAAAGGAGAAGCAAGGCAGGACTAGGTAAAAGTATTCTGTGAAAGAGACTAAATTGAACACGGTCTTTAATCTTGTCTATACTCAGGCTAAAGCTGAGCAACTTTTTCAGAATTGTGGAGGAATTTGAGCACAAGTTCATCTATAAATTCTTTTTTTTTAAACCATGCTAGTTGTAAGAAGCCCTGTATTGCAACCCTGAAGCCATGTGTTTTCATATTATACAAAATAAGGTGGATAAAACATCACTCAGCACATCTGACTGCATACTTACATATGTAACCATCATGCACATAGTCACATATATGCTTTTCTGCTACTTTCAGAATGACACAGCCTGCTTTCTTGGCTGTGTGCTTTTTAAATTAAACAGGTGAAATCAGACAATGTATATGCTGTTGCACATGCTGATACCTTTTTATTTTCCCATTTTCTTAAGACAGTGATAATGTCTAAATGTCTTTCATTATCCCCCCCAAAATGTTAATGATGACATACAGAGCCAGTCTAGCAGAAAAAGCATATCTGGAACAAGTCATCATCAGTTGTTTTCTAATTACAATGACAATACAAAAATGAAGCAAGCTTACCTTAGCTCAGAAGGCTATTTTTTGCTGTATCCAGGCAGTTCCCTCTGCTTATTCACTTGAAAAGGGAAAATCCACTTGAATAATGAAAGAAAAAGTCTTTAAATAACCGAAGAGTGAGGGATATAAGGAGTCAGCTGAGCTCCTGATCCACTTGTTCTAGCGAATTGCAAAAACCTAGCTCCAGTAGTAGCTCAGAGCGGCTTTCCTCTCTTCGCCTATTCTGTGGGCTGAGACTCTGCAAGAATAGACCTGAGACGGTGCTGCATGGGAGAGACAGCGGGGGGACCTTGGCACGGAGTTGGACCAAACTCTAAATATAGCCCAACCCACTTTCCGTGTAGTTCTCTTCATACTCTGAAGGCAGATGACCTTGTCAGAAAACTGACCTCACAGCATGTCACCCTCTGCACAGAGAGGATCTAAAGGAGCGGGACTGCAATGTAAGAGGACAGAAAAGCAATCAACCATCTGCTTGCAGCACATGAATGTAGGTATGAGCTCTATTTTTATGGCAGTTGCAACTGATCAAGTCATAATGTGCTTTATTTGATCATTTAGACAAATGTGCTGCATGCCAGTTCACAAAAGACCTTTACAGATGAGAGATTGAATTGTAATTACTAATCTTGAATAGAGAGCATTGACATAGATGAAAAGCCTGTCGCCTTTCCTCCTTTCAAAAACGTTACTCAGCACACTGTGTAGTATTTCCCCTTTATATTACATTAATCTTCATTCATATGTAAAAGGTTTCTGTCTATAAGAAAATGTGTTTTCTCTCACTCTTACGGTGAGATTTTTAGAAAATGTGATTTAAATCCACAAGCGTGTGTTCCAGTAACATATAAATTTGAGACGCTAGGGTGGCTTGAAATTGCAGTGCAAGCTACAATTTCTGGGACCACGCTGCTGAGAATTTTGTAGTGTATGCAGGGGAGGAAGCAAGAGAATAAGAGGCTCAGAAATATAACCCTTGGGCTTTGGATAGGGAACCGCTTTTCAACAGATGGTTTATGATCCAGGGAGTTTGCCACTTTAACTCTATGTGGCAACATGTCAGGGTATTTTGTTCCGTAACCTCAAGGAGACTTAATTTGATATGAATCAATCTGAAGCTCTGTCAAATGGACTTGATATTGCTATGTTGTGTGAAGACTTGTGAATAAAACAAGACGATGAATAAATCTCAACGACTTGAAATGCCTTCTTCCACATTTTGTGTTAAGACATAAAAGAGAGTTGGGGTAAAAGCTTTTTTTGCAGTATTGTTCTTTAATGGGATATGTTTGTTGTTGTTGACACATAGCTAAGTGTAGGCTACATTTTATGTGTGCATACATTATTTAACGTTCAGAGAAAACCTGAGAAAGCGTCATGTCTGTGATAACACTGTACTGTAGATGTGTGTGTCTGCAAAATAAACGAGCCAAAAAGGTGTCAATTATATCAGTGGTTGGTAAAATATCAGCGCCTATCTATGAACAATAATGTAATATGGGCTGTTAAGTTTTTACAACGTGTGCTGTATATTTTTTATGGACGCCCACTGTTTTTGGCAAGTTCCTCTGTGTAATTTTGTCATGATCCATCAACTGCAAGTCCACAGGGTCAGCCAGACTCTGTGTGCTACCTTCACAACAAGAACTACAGCTGTGAAGCCACAGCTGCTTCCCCAGATAGTGAGAGAACAGGAGGAAATGCGAATCTTCAGCAGTACTAAGAAGAGAGACATCACATCTGGGCCATACTACATGTACATTCCTGGGCAAAACTGAATCATAGTCAGATTTAGGCTGGAGCCCACCATTTAAGTAGTTTTATGGAGTTATTCCAAGTTCCTTTTTTTCCCCCGCAATTTACATGTTTCCTTCCAATTAACAAAAATAAACGTTTGTTAGGAGTGAATATTATAACTAATGAATGATGTTGGTTGGATATTGGACTTGAAAAAGGAGCAAGTCTGCAAGCTGGAGTAGTTTCCATTCATGATAAATCAGTTCTTAGAAAAAGAAGAGGCATTGCAGTGCCCATGGGTCAGAAGAGCACAGGAATTGTAATACCTCACCAGGAGCTGTGACACACACCTCTCTTATACAAATATCTTGCAGAAAGGGTGATTTCTTGCGTACACAAATGATGTGATGGGTGGTTTTGGAGTGGGCATGTTCAGTTTTCAGGGGGCTTTTATAGAGCACTGTTGTTCCAGTTTACAGGGCTGTAAATGTTCCCTGACCAACCACTGTAATGTGAACTTCCTACAAGTAGGAGAAAAGGATTTAAGAGTGATTGTACTATTTTTTTTCAAGATGAATGAAACAATATTTTGTTTAACAGTGCTATATGCTCTGTTTTGTTTTGTTTTAAGATGGCTTTTGCATGAGTTTCCTAGCCATGCCACAAAGGGGGAAATATAGCATGGAGTCAGGCCCTAGTTAGTGCCTAGCTTTTGCCAGACTCATAGCTTGAGTTTTCTGTATGATGCTGGATGATCTGTCTGCTGCTTTTTAGACAGTTTTTCTCTTTGACTACCCACCCTTCTTTTGTATTATTTCCTCTGGGAAATTCCCCACAGTGGGGAACGATTTGGATCTAGCTTTTCCAGATCCCAGGCTGTTTCTTCTCTCAGAAGCCTGTTAGGATTGATAGCTACTTCAAGGCAGCTTTTTGGGGTTCTCCCTCATATGATTGTTCATTCTGTAACCATTTCTTGTCAGCTGATTTTTCTTTGATTAAACCCAAATTGCTAGTCGCTTGTGGTTGTTTAAAGATCACATGGAGCATTTTACAAGCAAGATGTATGAACCGTAATGCCTCAGCCAATTTCTGGGATGGCCAACTGCATTCTTACTTTCAACGTTCCCCTACTTCTCAGAGTTGGATAGTGTCTTCTTACCATCCTAAACTATTGCATCGTGTTTCTAGCATCCTTTGAGTGGTTTCTGAAGTGATTGTAGGGTATGTAATGCCTGGAATCTGTCAAGAAGTGAAGCCCGTTTTACAAGGTCAAGCATTTAATTATTTTATAACATTCATCCAGTACATTTCTAAACAGACCAAATCCATGCTACTTATAAGCAAACTAAATAAAATAATCTCCCGCTTTACCCATCTCTCTAAGAATATGCTTTTAAACTGAATTCAGGGATTTAAAGAGATTACCAGAAGTAAAGGGTGGTTTATGAAAGAGCAAAAGTAAGAGTAATGAGGAGAATACAGCAACTGGGGGATGTCATCTTGAGCCTCCACTCATGGTGTCATTGCCTTGGAGTACTAGAGCAGACAACAGGAGCGATGTGCGCTCCGTGCTGATGTGTTAGTTACTGTATCTTCAGGCTTTGGGTGCTCTTGTTTGACAGGCCAGTCATGAAGAAATTAAGTTGGATGGCAAGCAATGAGATAGCCTGTCATATTCCTAACACGTCAAACCTTCGTGTTTGCCCTTCACCTACTGTGGGTGGTGCTGTTATTTTTGGTGTGAGACAGGGATGGGATACCTTGCGGGTGAAAAAGCTGGTTTTATTAAGTGGAGGGTGGCCTGCTACTTTTATGTCTGCAAAGTCAATTTCTGTGTATTTTTTTTTAATCCATTTCTGCTTATAAGGCAATATATGAACATGTGAAGGTCAAATTATGACTAGGCTGGGCTGTAGCCGTGCAGTTGTGGCTGTACTGCAAGCTAGGCCTAACCTTGGTCCCGTGAGGCTGATTCTTGTGTCCTTACACATACACAACAGGGGATTTCCTCTGGTCTTGTTCTTGGATATGCCCTTTGTTTTGTCTTTCGGTTCACTCCCAAATCAATATATGTCAAAAATGTGTTTGGAAGTACCAATTTTGAATATTAAAGAGGAAGTGTTAAAAATAAGGGAAAAAGGAGAGATGGTTGTTAGAAATGTTCTGTGGGAGACTCCTTGCAGTGGCCCAGTCTGGCAGGTAGGTGTATCTGTGCACTAAATGTTTTCTGTCGTATCAGAGCATGTTGAAAATTATTTTGAAATGACTCAATTTTTTAAATTATTATTTATTTTTTTCTGAAATGAAGGTATATCCTGAATATCCTGTCACCAGATTTGTCAGGCAGTTTGTTTGTGGTAGATGTGTCTTCTGAACCACCAAGGAAGGAGCTTACACCTGTGTAAGCATATTGTCTTTGTAGTGTATACTGTTGCCATTACTTGTAAACTATTACCTGCACATCCTACAAACAGTTTACAATAAGCTCTGCTTCGGCTTGGCTTAGGCAAGATAGGGCTGGGAAGGGTCTTACACTGTCTGGTTGTTCCCTAATGGGACAAAGTGAAGTGCTTTTGAGTCTTCAGTAGGGCTGCCTCTGTTCTTGCTCAGTTGCATATTGTGTGCCCTTCAGGTATGCCTCACAAGTGTAAAATACATGCTGTGAAGTGTCTTGTCAGGTAAAGTCCGCAGTTTAAGGGACACTCGCAGCTATGAGGACTTACTGTTGTGCTGGATCAGGTCTGTTTTGGAAGAGGAGCTCATGCAGAGGGAAGGGAAATCAGACCTTGGGATGACGGAGCGCTGGCACCACGTATAGTTATTGCTCAAATTATCTCAGCCCAGACATGGAGGCAGCGTTGATCTCTGTTGCAGTGGGCTGACAGTGAAAGTTGACAAAACGATGGTACTAACTGCTGGTCAGCTGCAACAGAGCTTCCTTCAGGTGCACCTTCATTGCCTCCTGGTACTAATAATATAAACCAGTTCATTCACAGTTTTTCCTTTTAGATACAAAGCATCGTAATAACCAAATATTTTAATGTCTTACAAGTGAAGGGACTTTATTTGATTCATGACCCCAGTGAGAAAACTATGAAAACTTCAGCAGTGTTTTAAAACTGGAGTTTCAAAAACTTAAATGAAGAGAAAAGGAAAGATCTTCATTAATTTTTGAAGAAAAGAGGCTCTTTGCATAGCCATATTGTCATTCTTTCTTGCATCAAAGATCTTCTGATGAGCTATGATTATGTCCTTTGATGTGATTAAATATTCATTTTTCATTACTGTCAGTATACCTGTTCTTTAATTGATTTCTAGGACTACAGCTTGTTTTAATGCAGTGTTCAGAATGATTTAACTCCTTATTCAAGGAGGCAAGGGGCTGATTTTTATTCTTTTTTCATAATCTGTTACCTGGATTTCTCAGTAGTGCCACTGGTGGTGATGCATGCTCATGACGTATGCTCATGATGTATTATTTGTATATATACATGTATATGGAGTATTATTTACCTTTCTGGGGCTGCCAGTGGACCCTTTCCAACTCAGAGAGAGCAACTACTTGAGAAATGAAGTGGATATGGCTCCAGATAACTTTTTTAATTAGTTTATAACCATTTTATCACACTTCCCAGCAATTTCTGAACTATTGCCATGGTAAGTAGTCAGCAACTGATCTGAAGAACTGTATTAATACTAAAATTTGCATTCTTAGCAGTTCTGTATGGCTTGTCTTGAGGGGTTCTCAGAAAACCTT